CTTCCTCTTCCAATTGTTCTCACTTACTCCTCCAGACAGTCTTGCTTCTACTTTCAAGTTCACGCACACACACACACACACACACACACACACACACACACACACTTCTATATATCTATATGAAGTCTATAATTTTCACATGAGAAGATACATGGTATTTGTCTGAGTGTGATTTATTTTGCTTTATATGATTATGTCTAGTATCCACTTTCCTGAAAATAACAATTTTATTCTTTTTTTTAATAGGCTCATTTTCCTTTGTGTTTGCGGGAGTGTGGGGGTGGGTTGGGTGTGTACGTGTGCATGCGTGCAGGTACCTGTGAAGGTCTGAAGAGGGTGCCAGGTCCTCTAGAGCCAGAGTTACAGGTAGTTGTGAGCCACCTGACGTGGGTGCTAGGAACTGAACTTGAGTCCTTTGGAAGCAGCGAGTGCTCTTATCCACTGAGCCATCTTTCCAACCCCAATAATTTTGTTCTTTATGATTGGACAAAATTCCACTTTGTATATAATACCACATTTTCTTTATTTTCACCTTTTGAACGACACGTAAACTAATTGCATAGTTTCGCTATTGTGAATAGCGCTGTAGCAGTAAACAGATGTGTAGGCACCTCAGTGAGGTGTTAGAACCCTTTAGGTATGTATTCAAGACTCACGGAGTTGGGTCATACGGTCACCCCTTACCATCTCAGACTTTAGAAGACGTGGTCTCAGAGCACTCTTGTTTAGTATGACGTTGTCTGTAGGTTTGTCATACATGATCTTTGTTACTTTTAGGGATTTTTCAGCTATTCCTAAACTCCCCAGGACTTTTATCATGAAAGCACGTTGGATTTTGGTAGGTGCTTTTCTTCATCTATTTAAATGACCATTCTGCCCTTAAGATTATCTCAGTGAATGTCTATATAATTAGAATGGCTATTGTAAAGCAACAGAGCTTTGCTTAGGGTGATGGGCATGGGCCAAAGCCTTGGGGTACCTGCACTGACCTCTGGGGTGGTGGTATAGTCCAGGGTACACGGGCTTGGTTATGGGATGATGGGAGGGACCAGAGCCTTAGGGCTAATTTTCAAGTTTCATAGCTATAAGTTTCCCACTGTAGAACTACTTTCATTATATACCACAAGTTCTGACATGTTTTTTTTTCATTATGATTTGATTCTAGAAAGTTCAATCTCTCTTGATTTCTTCAATTGTTCAGTGGTGTGTTATTCTATCTTCATGGATTTAAATATTCTGTCATTTTCCTTGCTATTGATTTCTAGTTTTAGTCATTGTATTTAGATAGAATACAAGAAATTATTTCATTTTTCTTGGATTTGAAAAGACTTGCTTTGTGTGCTAAAATACAGTCTGTTGTAGAGAACATTCCATGGGCTGTGAGACTGTTTAGTCTTTAGATAGAATATTCTGCCTATGTCTGTTAAGTCCATCCGATTTATGATGTCATTTAACTCTGATGTTTGTTTGTTACTTGGATGACTGTCTCTTGGTGAGATCAGGGTGTTGAAGCAACCTACCATTATTATATGGAAGTCTGTCTGCTTTTATATCCAGTAGGATTTGGTTTATGTAATTAGATGCAACAATGTTTGATGGATGTATGTTTAGAATTGTATCATCAAAATTGAATATTCCCACGGTCAGTATAAACTGACCTTATCTTTTATGACTGATTTTAGTTCTGAGTCTAACTTGTCAGACATTAGTATGACTGTACCTGTCTGTTTCCTGTCCTGTTTGCTTGGAATGCCTCACTAAAGCTCTGGTTGTCTTTGCCAGTAAAGGTACAGTTCTGGAAGGCAACCAGATGGGTTATATTCTTTAAGCCGGTCTGCTGTGTCTTTTGGCTGAACATTAAGGTCATTAACATTCAAGAAACATTACTCAAAGGTACTGATGAATTCATGTCATTTTGTTTTTGTAATGTTTGGTACTTTTACAATCTTCATTGATTTATCTACTATTCTGGTGCAGCTATTCTTCCCTGTGACCTCATGGACGTTTTTCTCTCTCTTCAGTGTGTAGAATTCCTTCAGGTATCTTTGGTGGTGCTGGCTTACAGGTCAGGAACTCCTCTGTTTGGTATATTTTTTATTGGAAAGTTTTTCTTTCTCCTTCAATTATGAAGGATAGCATTCCTGTGTACAGTAATCTGGGTTTGGCAGTTAATGTCTTTTAGAGCTTGAAGTATATTTTCCACCCCTTCTTGGCTTTTAGAGTCTCTGTTGAGAAATCTCTTACCCTGATAGGTTTGCCTTTACATGACTTCATACATTCCCCTTGCAGCTTTCAGTAGTCTTTGATTTGTATATTTTGTGGTTTTACGTAATACGATATGGGCAGGTTCTTTTCTGGTTTTATCTGTTTGATGTTCCAAATGCCTCCTGTATCTAGATGGTCAACTATTTCCCTAGATTTGGGGATTTTTTATATGATATTATTGTAAATACATTCTGTGCCCTTAGCTTGTACATGTCCTCCACTTCCTACAGACCCATGATTTATTAACTTGATATTTAATAGTGTCCCGTGGATCGCTCATGATCTCATGCTTTATTCATACGTTCTTGTTTTATTGGCATCGTTGTCTGAATGGTCTAATCCATCTACCTTTCTTCAAGCTCAGATAGGCTGTCTTCTGCTTCATTCCATTGATAAGGCCTTTCACTGACATTTTAATTTGGTTTAGCGTTTCGTTTCCAAAGTTTCAATTTGATTTTTTTTTTCAGTATTTTTAGCTTTTGGTGATTCCCTCTTTCTTATCCTTGACTTCCTTATTTTATTGAGCTGCTTATTTGAATTCTCTTTGATTTCACTCAGGATTTTGTGTCCTATTAGAACAGGTCTTGGCCTAAAGAGCAGGCAAGGGCTGTAGTAGCCTCTCATTGGGTAGAGATGGAGTACTGGGGTTCCACACAGTTCTAGTCTAGTCCAGGCAGAGGTAAATCTTCAAGTGCTAGGGATCAGCATCAAGCTCATCTCTTGAAAAAGGATCTCATGCCCTGATTGTACTCAGTCACTTCTACGTCTAGTCAGTCAGCAAGACATGATGTCTCTTCTGTGTATTTTCAGAACTATTGCTGTCCTCAATTTTAAGGTCTTGGGCCCTTTTGCTTATTGCTAAAGTCTTTTCTCTGTGACCCATGCCTATGAATGCCTTGCTCCCAGACTAAGCCTTGAGTAGGTCCCCACTCTTAGAGGAAGTACAAGCAGCTCCTGCCTTTTCCCATTAGGCTAACTGCAGCCCATTTGCCTTGAGTTTTTCATAATCACCAGTGAGAGCCTGGGTTTCCCACGCTGGGCCATTCTTTCAATACCAAGCTTTAGTGCCACCGTCTCTGTAGCACTTTGCTGACTCGCTTAGCCATTCCATTTATAACTTACGTATCTCATTTTATTTGATTTTATTTTTATTATTTTAAGGCAGGCATCACCACACCTGGCATTGTTTTATTTTTTTAGTATATTTTTTCTTTCTTAAAAAAGTTATTTTTATGTGTGTGAGTGATTTGCATACATGTATTATCTTAGTTTGTTTCTCCATTGCTGTGACAAAACACTCTGACCACTACCAACTTGGGGAAGAAAGGGTTTATTCAGCTTACATCTCCCAGGTCACAGTTCATCAGGGAGCCCAAGGTAGGAACTCAGGGCAGGAACCTGGAAGCAGGAGCTGGAGCACAAGCCCTGGAGGAACGCTGCTTACTGGCTTGCTTCCCTGGCCCCTGCTCAGCCTGCTTTCTTATGGAACACAGGCCCACCTGCCCAGGGGTGGCACCACCCACAGTGGGCTGGGCCCTCCCACATCACTCAGCAATCAAGAAAATTCCCCACAGACATGGCCACAGGCCAGTCCAATGGAGGCAATTCCCCAATTGAGGCTCCCTCAACCCAGGTGTGTCAAGTTGACACTAAAGCTATCCAGCACATGTATGTAAGTGTTCCCTTGTCCTGCAGTGTTCACGGAAGTCAGAAGAGGGTGTTGGATCTCCTGAGACTGAAGTTACTGATGGTTGTTAGCTGCCATGTGGGTGCTGGGACTTGAACCCAGGTCTTCTGCAAGAGCAGCCAGTGCTGTTAACTGCCAAGCCATCTCTCCATTCCTAACATGTATTTTAATTTTGCTCTTTGTAATAAACTACCCATTTTCCTCTTTAAGGTTTGAGCTCTATTTTAGAATGAAATCTGCCTTTTTTGGCAAGTGCCCTTTGGAACATACAAAAGATAAAAGAATATAAAAGCTCAAAAAGTAGTTTCTAGCTGGGCATGGTGGGTCTCTGCAAGTTCCAGGCCAGCTGGGACTACAGGGAGACCCTGTCTCAAAAAGACCAAAAAAAAAAAGGCTTCTAAGTGTAAAGAATAAGGCCATGGCACGGATAAAGCTTCCATTGTGTCCTTGAAAGCACAGTCACCCGAAGCAGGCATTTGATGTGTTTGTGTGCATATATGCCATGGCAGTGCAGGTGGCCACAGAGGCCAAAAGAGGGTTGCTGGATCCCCCCTGTAGCCATAGTTACAGGTGGTTGTGAGCTACGTGACTTGGGTGCTGGGAACTGAACTCGGTCTTCTAGAAGAGCAGGAAATACTCTTAACCACTGGCTATTTCTTTAGCTCCAAACCACTGAAATTCTACACATGGCTTCAACCGTTCCAATTTATTTATCATTAACATACAGTACATATGAGGTAAAACCAGAATGTTATTTACAACTCTGCTTTTCCCTTTCAATTTATTATTTTGTAAATGAAAATACATATAAATTCTCTTTAAATAGATTTTGGACATAGAGAAACAATTTTCCTTATTTTAGACAATAGGATGTTTAAAAGTGATACAACATACATATTTTTCAAATTTTTGTTAAATGAGCACGTTATTTCTAAATTCAACCAGTTTTTTTTTGTTGTTGTTGTTGTTGTTTTTATATTTTTGAGACAGGGTCTCCCTGTAGTCCCAGCTGGCCTGGAACTCACTATGTAGCCCAGGCTAGCCTGGAACTCACAGAGATCTGCCTGCCTCTGCCTGCTGAGTCCTTGGATTAAAGATGTGCGCCACCACGCCTGGTGCTTCTAGATTCAACCAGTATTTTTGAAATTGTTTTTGTGAAAACTGAAGGGAAAGCAGGTCAGATAGCATTTGTCAGCTTTCATTTGGGTAAAACCAAAACAACCATAATTATTTTAAGGCTGCACCTTAAATTTGAGTAAAGTAACATGGTTACATTATTTACTATTTAGAATTCATATGGAATGTAAATGTAAATGTGCACCTAGAAATTACAAGTGCTGTGTACTAATATTAGAAATGCGTTAACCATCTGCACAACTGACTGGATGCCAGAAGGCACGGTTTCTAACTTGGGACATGGCTCATTAGACAAGTACTCAAATATGAACATACTATTTCACACTCTCTTACACCAGCAGTAAAACAGACATTGAATGACACACTTTTAGGAGTAAATCCATCATCTACATGGTGGACTCTTCTGAGTTTCCAACAGAACTTTCCACAGCCCATGGCATTTTGACCCGGAAACTGAAGGCACTGAAGCTGGACTCGTCCTGGGACACACTGTGACCCGCACAGACCTTCCTAGTGTGACCAACCTTGATGTCTGGAACACAGAGGAAGGCATAAAACCTTTTGAAATAGATGCTAATAGAACAGTCAGGAGATTTCTGACGAATTTTAAAACTCCCAGTGTTTTATGCTCTTCTAAAATGTTTATAGGTGTGCTCTGCATATTGGTTTGGTAGCTATACTCTGGAAGCATAAGATAAAACCTCTGCCAGTGTCACTCTAGACAGTGATGCACATCTTGTTTGCAGTTACTGTTTCTGAATTTCAGTAAATTCAGTAGTTCCTTAATACGTATTATACCATACTAAGTACTTAGAACTCATAGTTCAAAATATAAAATCAAATAACTTACTTGAAATGTAGATGTTCAATGAGCACATATCCATCTATAGAAACAAAACTCACCATTACTAGTCTAAAATTTCTAGAGAAAATTCTTTAAGACTAAAACTAGCTCCAAATAAACTTACATTTGCCTTTAGAATTGCGACATATCACTAGGTTTTGCTCGGTGGTGTCGATGACTTCCAGTTGTTCTCCTGGAGTTATTGGCAGATCAAAGGTTCCATTTCGTGAATTGCTGGAGCTTGCTACTGCTCTGTTGATGACCATAATCTCCTTATCATACTAAAATGAGAAGTTACTAATAAGACCATGCTTATATAGTTATTTTTATAGCAAAATTAATGAAGGATATAATATAGTAACCTCAAAATACAAGATGCTAGACATTAACAAAATAAATGATAAAGCCGGGCGTGGTGGTGCACACCTTTGGTCCAAGCACTGCAGAGACAGATGTAGACAGATCTCTGTAAGATTGAGACCAAGCCTAGTGTATATAATGAGCTGGGGCTACAGGGAGACCCTGTCTCAAAAGAAAGGGAGTGGGGATGGAAGGAGTGAGGAGGATATTACATCGAAAGTAAGTCTTTTAAGAAAATATTAGTAACTGCTTTAATCTTACATTTGTTTCATGTGATTATGTTTTCAAAATTTTCGCATTCACTAATATGTATTAGACGAGCCCTGGTGGGTAAGTGAAAACATAGGAGGTAAGCTATCTCAGTAATAAAGTTACCTCTTAACTCAGCTGAGAAGTTTAAACAAAACTGTAGAGTTTGCCTTCCATTTCTGGATGATGCTCTCAGCTCACCTCAAGTATGTTACATATAGCTAAAGTATGTGCTCTTTAAAGTGGTGGCAGCTAGATATGGGGGTAAAGCCCACTCCCTTCTTTGGTGTAAGACAGATTTATGAAGGAAAAACTCTTGATGAGAAATTCAGTTTCTGAACCCTTCTAATGTACTGACCAGGAAAAACAATCTAGACTATACAGCTTAGATTATAGCTGTTCACCTCACCAAACTAGGATGAACAAATGGCAGCTTTTGCTTTTGCTAATGGTCATGGAAACCACCTCAGGTAATGAAGAATAGAATTACATACAGAGAGGAACTTGTATTTCTGTCCTATGAGATAGTGAAAAACAAGGAGGAAAGCACTAGATGGAATACCAGAGTCTTCAACCAGTAATTGCTATACTTTTGTTTTTCACCTAATCAGTCACAACACAGTTTGCAGTAATTTCTGGTAACAATTTTCAGATATAGTAATCCTCATTAGGTTTGGTTCAAGTAAATATATATTCCTATTTTAGTTCAATCCCGGAAGTTTGGGATGTTTATAAAGCGTTGGCCAGTGGTTTTCTACTGAGCACGAGTGTGAAGAAAGATAATATCTTTTGTCTTCAAGACCGCGTGGTAAGCCAAAAGACGTTCTGGTATTTAGATATGTAGAAGAGTAATTTCTTTAATCAGAAGGTTTGGAAAGTCTTCGCTGAATGAGAAGATGTGTCAACAATAAATGAACAAGCCAGCAGGAGAAAGCCGCAGAGAGGTACGAGATGTGGAGCAGGGTCCAGATGAGAGAGGTGCAGGTGCAGTCTAGTGACCAAACTGAGCGGTTGGTCGCCAAAGCAGAAAGTGCAAAGACAATGCCAGGAGAGAAAACAGAACAAGAGCCAAGATCACGGCAGGAAATTATCAAGAAACCTAAGCCTTATCCATTTGGCAAGAGGAACTTTTTGAAATATTTCTGGTTGGGTTCTGACTTAGATAAACTATGAGCAGGAGGCACACTTTGTCCCTCAGTCCAGTGTCTAGCACATGGATAGTGTTAAAAATGTTTCCTGAATTCAGTAGTTCTTGCTTTAATATAGGTAAACAGGAAGGGCCCTTGGGGCTTGAGAAGAGTGGAAAATGCTCCATGGAGTCTTAAGTTTCAGGTGCTCATTCATTTTGTTATCACTCATTTGTTTATTCATTCGACAAACACTGCATGTCCCATTTTCTATTGGGAACTGAGGAGCACATTGAATAAGAAAGGACCACCTTCTAAAGGTACTGAAGAGTTTAGTTTGGGATGCACACACATGCACTGTATTCCAACTGTGGTGATTTGAGTGAGAATGTCCCCCATAGGCTCCAAGCATTCGGACATCTTGTCCCCAGTTGGTGGTGTTGGTTTGGAAGGTCTGGCCATGCTGGAGGAAACACATCACTGGGGGTGGGCTTAGAGAGTTCCTAAGTCTTGCCATATCTAGTCACTCTGTTTTCTGGGCCTGCTTGAACATGTGAGCTCTCCTCTTCCTGCTCCAGCTGCCTCTGCCGCCATGACTCCCTGCCACGGCGGATTCTAATTCCCCTGGAACCGTAATCTCAAACTCTTCCTTTTATAAGTTCTCTTGGTCATGGTGTTTCATCACAACAGAAAAGTAACTAATATAGCAACTTAATCAGTATTCTACAGATTTGTGTGTGGTAGATATCAGATGTCCTGAGGGGGTGACCTGGAAGAGTGGGTTACATTTGAATAAGCTGTAATCAACAATTCAGAAGTTTGTCCAGATGGAGGGAATAGCAGTGTACAAGGGCCTGCCAATATAGAAATATAGCAGGAGAAATCAAAGCGTTAGTGTTTAGTCAAAGATCATACCTTTATCTCGGAGAGGTAGAGATATGGCCACTAATGGAGCCTTTCAGAAGGGAGGCCCCTAAGCACTGTAGTCCTTCTCTCAGAAGAGCACATACCTGAAATCTTTCCCTAAAAAGTCTTTCTTCTTTCTCCTTCTTACTCTTCTCTAAGTTTTGCTTTTTGATTCTGAAGAAACTTCTTGGAGAAAAACTGGTAAAAAAAATAATGTGGGTAAAATTAAATGTAATAAAAATATTAAGTTTCCAGGTCTATGAAGTCATTCTATTTCATAATAAACTCATATATAATTTTGCATGTATACTGATTTGTTTTTTAAATATATTTATTCATTTTGTTGCCTGCATCTATGTAAGTGCACCTGTGTTGTTCTGACCTCAGAGGTCAGAAGAGAGCATCAAATTCCCCTGGAACTGGAGTTATGGATGGTTGTTAGCCGCCATGTGGGTTCTGGGAATTGAACCCGGGTCCTCTGCAAGAGCAGTCAGTGCTTTTAACCATTGAACCATCTCTCCAGCCCTTGTTTGTTTGTTGGTTTGAGACAGGGTCTCCCTGTAGCCCTGACTGGCCTAGAACTTGTGGCTAGCCTTGATCTCACAGAGATCTGCCTGCCTCTGCCTCCTGAGTGCTGGAATTAAAGGCATGTAACACCATGGCCAGTACATATGTATAATATTAAATAAAATCATTTATCTCTATGTATATATACTAATACACCCTCATTCGAGCAGATTGCCAAAACTATTGGAAAAAGGTAATACTAATTACTTTCCCTCACCATTTAATACATGCATATATGCACACGCATGTGTGTGTCCAGATTTTTTTCTCCTAGTGCTGAGGATCAAATCCAGGACCTCACAAACGTGCATTATTGTACTAAGTGATACCCCTGTAAATAGTACTTTTGATAGCAAAGCTAGCTGAGGACAGAATCAGCTTGCTACAGAGAACAGCCGAGAATAGGAGGAATGACCAAATGCTGTACAGTACAGCAGTGGATGTGTGTTTTTAAAAGCTACACTAGCTGTGACTATGCTTCAGTTACAAAATTTCTCTGAATTAGGTCTAGAAGCATAATTAACTTTTTTTCCCAAGAGAATTTTAAGGAAACGTATATTTTTTCTATCTACACATTATTTAACAGAAACCAAGAACATTGATTAAGGGGCTTACAGTTTTCTCCCAATTTTTCAGTCATAACTGGGAAATCACAAGTCTTTGTGGTTCAGTTGAAAAATACCTTGTTTGCTGAAAACCCTGGGAGGTAGGCTGGGATGGTTAACACTGACTGTCAACTGGACACGGGATCTGGAATCGCCCAGAAGACAAGCCCCCAGGCACACCTGTGAAGGACTGTCTTGATTAAGTTAGCCTCTGGCCATGCCTTTGAGGAATTGATTAGATTAAGGCAGGAAAACCCACCATGAAAGTGGGTTGCATTAACCCCTGGGCTGAAGTCCTGGACAGCATAAAAAGGACAAAGCTAGTTGAGCACATGTATTCATAATTCTCTGCTTCCTGACTGGATGCAATGGGGCCAGTGGCTTTAAACCCCTGCTACAGGGCTTCCCTGCCAGGATGGACTACATCCTTGAACTGTAAGCCAAAAACCCACTCCTCCTTTAATGGAACTGGTTTAAATTGCATGCACAATAAAAAAAAAACAAAAAAAAACAAGAACTGTTTTCCCAATGAGATATTTAGAGAGAATCCTCCATCTACCACCTTAGGCCTGTGTATAATTGGACATGCATATGATAAAAATCAGATGCATTATGGGAAGGGACATGCATATTAGAGAAATGATTATAAAACCTAATTTGTCAGTCAAAATAGAGAACCACAAACTATGCCCCTTAGCAACCACCCTTCCTTCCCTGAGACCCCATAAACAGAAGTGCCAAGCAATAATCTAAGGCCCTCGGGTGTCTTCACTCTTGTGGTCCACTGTTCTCTTGCAGTGTGTTTTGACCTGTTTGTTCTCTCTTTGCTTTGAATAAAGTTTCCCTGCTACTTTGCAGTCTGTGTGGGCTTTTATTTCATTCTTGAATAAGAGACTAAGAACCTGAAATTAGGAGATGGAGAGATGGCTCAACAGTTAAGAGCACTGGCTGCTCTTGCAAAGGATCAGGGTTCAGTTCCCATCACCCTCAATGGCAGCTCACAAACATCTGTAACTCCAGTTCCAGGGGATTCGATGCCCTCTTCTGACCTCCTCAGGCATTGCATGACACAGGTCCCCTTACATGCATGCCAGTAATACACTCACACATAAAAAATATTTTTTAAAAAAGAAAACCTGAAAATACCCAGTTTAGACCCTGACTACTGGTAACACTACCATCTCTGTGCTCCTTGTAAAAATTCCTCTTTTCTACATGCTTAACCTCTTTCAATGTCTCTTTGTTACCTACAACAAACATATGTTCCCATTAGCATGATACATGAGTGTTTCACAATCTGCCCCAACTTACTGTCCAGCTTGTAAGCTACCTGTTTCCCTCAACATAAAACCAGTGTCTTTTGGGGTCATTCATGCCTTTTTATTTGAATACCTATCCAAACTTGTCTCAAAACTTGCTATCATCTTAGATTAATAAAAGCATAATTAGAAAGTTAAATTGATAGAGAAACATATCTTATTGCTAGAATATGTTGTGGCAGAAATGATTTTTTTTTTGGTCTTTTTGAAACAGGGTTTCCCTGTAGCCCCAGCTGGCCTGGAACTCACTATGTAGACCAGGCTGGCCTCGAGCTCACAGAGATCCCCCTGCCCCTGCCTCCCAAGTGCTGGGACTACAGCTGTGCACCCCCACGCCTGATTTTTTAAAGGATCAAAGAAACTGATCAATCTGCAGAATACTAATAGGCTCATTACATTTCCGAATTTACTCAATTGAGAGTAAAAATATACTATTATGCGGGACATGGTGGTGTACACATTTAGTCCTATCACAGGGAGGCAGGGGCAGGTGCATCTCTGTGAATTCGAGTCTAACTTGGTCTACACAACAAGTTCCAGGCAGGCAGTACTACATACACTGTCACACACACACACACACACACACACACACACACACACACTATTATGTCAGTTTAAGAAAAAAGTACTAGAAAATTGTTTTCCAGAAAGTCTTATTTGCAGTCATCAGTACACCTTGTTGGAGGAAAGCATTTCCCTGCCATTTCCCTGCTTAGAATTCTGTTTGCTATGCTCTGTAGGATGTAAAAGTCTGCTTTTCTAGTCTGTGAATTAGCTTTCCAAATGGGGGAAAATAAATTACATCTAAACCGAAAGAAAATGAACAAGGGAAGGACCGTCTTGAGTTTAGGTTTGTCATGGACAGATGTCTCTTCTCTTGGGAAAGCCTAGGAAGATTCTAGACAGATTTCCTGACTCAGACAAACTGCACAGTGTTCACAGTATTCACAGTTTCCTAAGGATTTCCCTGGAGACATTTATTAAAGTCCCTCAGAGCACAGAACTGAGCAAGCACTGAAGTCGGTAGAGCCCACGCCCTTCCCAAGCAGCCAGTGGACCGAATCATATGAGTGAAGGTTAGATCTTGAGTTGATAAAGCTTTCTGGTTAAATTTTAACACTAACTCTGGTCATAACTAGAGTTATATTTTAAGGAAGTCAATCTTTTCCCATAGTTCAATGTCAGTCCTAATTGGTGTTTTATTTAAGTTTTATCTTATTAGAGAAAATTACCTATAGCCTAGCAAAGAAGAGTGGAAATCTTCCATTGTTTGATAAGGGCTAACTCAAAACCTTTCCTTGTTTCTCATCAACCAAAAGTAGGGAGCAGGATGTTGGGGATAAATGTGTAAGGAACTTAAGGTTTTTATTTCTTTGTTTCTTCTAATCCTCTAAGTTGTACTGTGATGCAAGTGGTGTTAATTCACAGTTTGTAGAGTAGGAACCTGAAAATCAAATTTAAGGACTTGAACCTAAGGTCAGACAACCAGTAAGAGTGGCGGTGGCAGCAGAGCTCTGAGTACACTTGTGCTCCTACCTTTCTGATCCGTCAGCATCTTTTTTCTCCTTTTTCCCCTTTGGTGGCAAAAATTTAGCCTTCCAAGTTTTTAGTTTATCTTCATCTCTGAGAAGAAGAATATTTTGATAAAGCAAATTAAGATTCAACTAATAAACATTTACAGAACTACCTGTGCTTTCTAAGTCATTGACCAAAAGGTTCAGCTGTCATCTGGAAATACATTTTGATAATCTATGGCAAAGTCATGTAAGAGATTTTAGGGTTTTCAGGCTCCATTCTCTATAGCAACTACTCAGCTCTACTGTCAGGACTTTATGTATGAGAATAGTTGGCAGACTACACTTGGCCCACAGACCATAGTCTGCTGACCCAAAGCATGCACCAGTCTAAATCTGAAGTCAGAAGCAAGAGATTAGCCAGCTTGTAATCACAATTTATCTTCTCTCTGAGCCTCAGCTGTTTGTCTCTAAAATGTCAATGACACTACTAAGCTTGCATTTACCTGTACCACCCAGTCAGAATGTCTTACATCAAGAAATCTGACCCCAAATGCTGGTGGGGTCATGAGGAAAGAGGAAAGCTAACGGGGGTGACATTAATAAAGTCATTATGGAAATAACTGTGGAAGTTGCTAGAAAGCCTAAAATAGAACTACCACATCCAACTCTGCCACTCCTGGGCATATGCCCAAAGGTGTGACACACCTACCACAAGTGTCCCTACCACAAGGATTCTTGCAGATCTATGTTTATTGCTGCACTATTTACAATAGCAAAGAAATGAAACCAGCTTAGATGCCTATCAACAGATGGATAACGAAAATGTGGTACAGCTACACAAGAGAATTTAGTTATCTGTAAGGAAACATGAAATTATGAAACTGACAGGACAAGTCAGGCATGGCAGTGCACGCCTTTAATCCCAGCACTCTGGAGGCAGAGGCAGGCAGATCTCTTTGAGTTCGAGGCAAGCCTGGTCTACATAGCAAGTTCCAGGGCAGCTAGGGCTACAAAAACAAAAACAAACAAACACACACACACACACACACACAAATTGCATGCATGGATGGATTTGGAATGTATTGTGGTCCAAACTCAGAAAGTCTTTGACTTTCTGAGTCTTCTGTCCCATATGTAAATCCTGGCTTGTAATGTCCACAGTATGTATGTAAGTAGGTATAAATGTAGGTAAAGCCTAAAAAACTAGAAAGGAGACCAAAAGGGGGTAAAAAGAGGTGTGTGGGGTGGGCAAAGGGGCACATATGACCTGAAAATAGAAAAGAGACTGAAGAGTGGTTACAAGGGAGAGTCCAAGGCGGAGGACTGGGGAGGAGGATGGGGGAGGAGGACCGGGGAGGAGGACCGGGGAGGAGGATCTATTAAAAGAACTTTTTTTTTTTTTGAAAAATGCCATAATGATATCTAATACCCTGTATGTTAGTTTAAAAAAATAAAATAATACTAAACTTTGCTGCGAGGCAAGAGGAAACCAACCAGTGTTTAGCATTAGAGGTTCTGGGCAGAAGAGCATGCAGGGTAGAGGGTATAACAGAAGGAACTAAACTTTCTGAACACCTGTCAGGTCCTCTGCTAGGCATCCTATGTAAGTTAACTCATTTGGTTTTCATAGTAAATACTTGTTAATCCTGTAGCCATTCAAAAAGTTTTCCAAAGAAATAAAAGGATGATCAGAGCTAGGCAATTTCTCATGGTCGCAGAACAGTTAGTGTTGTTGAATGTAGGTCTATGTGACTCCAAAGTCTGTGGTCTTTCACAATACTGGCTGCTTCACATTTCTTCCCCACCTTACAAGAGTGGCCACCACTGATACAAGTAAACCATCTGTGTCGGAAATGGTGTTGACATGTGTGATGGTCTGAATGAAAATGTGCCCCACAGGCTCCAAGTGTTTGGACATTTTGTCCCCAGAAGATGGCGCTGTTTTGGGAGGTTTTAGAAGGTGTGGTTATCCTGGAGGAAGCACATCACTGGGGGTTGGCTAGTTCTTAAGCCTTGCCAGACCTCCAGTTGCTCTCTTGTTTCCTGTGTCTGCATTGTGATGATGTGAGAGCTTAGCTTCTGCTGCTCCTGCTCCAGCCACCTCCAGCCACTATGCCTCCCTGCCATGACAAACTGTAATTCCCCTGGAACCGTAAGCTCAAATAAACTCTTCCTTCTATAAACTGCTTGGGTCAGTGTTTCTATCACAGCAACAGAACAGTGACTAATATAACATGCTTGGACACTTTGGTGTTGAACACGAGGAAAATTATAAACACAAGGACATATGTCTGAACTGTGTTTTACATTTTCATAGACATTGTGTCACAGTCCTCTTCAAATTCTGCAGAACTGGGGATTGAACTCAGGGGCCTGCACATGCTAGTCAAGCACTGTCCCTTAACTGTATCCCCATCCTCAATTTCACTATGTAGCCCAGGCAGGCTTTGAACCTGCTGTCCTCTGCCTCAGCCGCTCTAGTAGCTCTCTGTGCCACCAGGAACACCTTCAGATTATGATCACAGGATCTAACTTGTTAGCACTGAAGCTGCAACTGAGACAGGCCTTTTTTTAAATTTTTGTCTTTTTGAGACAGGGTCTCCCTGTAGCCCAGAACTTGCTATGTAGACCAGGCTAGCCTTGAACTCACAGAGATCCACCTGCCTCTGCCTCCCAAGTGCTAGGACTAAAGCCATGTGCCACCATGCCCAGTACTGAGACAGGCTCTTAAGAAGTGTCTGGGGAGCCTGGAGAGATGGCTCAGTGGTTAAGAGCACTTGGTCAGTTCTCAGCACTGACACAGCAGCTAACAACTGTCTGTAACTCCATGCTGGCCATGGAAACCTTATGTTTTACTGTCTCCTTGCTGTCAGTCTAGTTGTTTATAGAACTTAATGAATTAGACAGGATAGAGAGCATTGCTGCCATTTCACAGGTCAGAAAGCTATCTTGAGAGCAAGAAGGTGGCCCCAGGCTGTGGAAGCAGGAGCCCTGTCAGTCAGGATCCCCTCTTCCTTACTGATGGTGTGGTTCCCACAGAATTTTACTATTTACAAACTCACAGAGCTACCTGAAATTTCGTCTCTTCTCCTTGACTTTTCACCACTCTAGAGCCCATTTTCATCATCTTTCACCTGACACTGTAGAGAAGTTCTGACTTCTGTTCTACTTGGGGCCTTCTTGCCAAGGAATTCTGCAGATGGGTCTCATTGTCTCCTGCAGTGGACACTGCCCTCTAGCCCAGAGTTCAGAATTCCTCCCTTGGCAGTCGGCAGAGAGGTATTCTGTAAGGTGTTCTAATGCAAAGCACTTGGGTCCTGGATAGACGTTCTTCTGCGCTGGGTTTCAACAAATTGTTTCTTTTGGGGCAAATGATGCATAAAGTACGCTAATAGCCTCTCCAAACTGAAGCCAGAACGGCGAGCAGTGTGCAAGCACTGAAGGTGTAAGCTGAAAAGGGCGAGCAGCCAGTGAAAACTGGGTGTAGGCCGCAGAGGGTGGGCAGCGAGCGAGCACTGAGGGTGTAGGCCGCAGAGGGTGCCAGTAGGAGAAATTGAGGAATTAAGGTATTGCTATTATGGCTTTAAAAATATTTATTTTTATTTTATGTGTATGAGTGTGTTGCCTGTATGTATATAAATACACCCATATCGTGCAATGCCTGTGCAAGTCAGAAGAGGGCATCGGATCCCCTGGAACTGGAGTTACAGATGGATGGATGTCAGCCACTATGTGGGTGCTGGGAACTGAACCCGGGCCTTCAGCAAGAGCAGCCAGTGCTCTTAACCACTGGGCCATCTCCCCAGGCCCTACTATGGATTATTTTAAAGTTCCAAATTCAGCTATGATAGTTATACAAGGTTAGTTAAGGATTAAGTGTGTACTAGAGCCAGGCATGGTGGCACACACCTGTACTCCCAGCACTTGGGAGGCAGAGGCAGGTGGATCTCTATGAGTTCAAGGCCAGTGTGGTCTACATAGTGATCAAGGCCAGCTGGGGCTACAGAGACACCCTGTTTCAAAAAGACAATAATAATAATAATTAATAATTATTATTATATTATAACAAGAACAAATAAATAAAAATTAAAAACCAAAAAAAGTGTACTAGAATTTTTATGTTTTCATGTATCAGTTAAATTGGGAAATTTAAATTTTAAAAAATCTATACTAGCAGAGACCAGGTAAGTCCATGACTACCAAACAAATCAGGCTCTCTATAAAGAGCATCACTGGAGGATGTAGTACCTTAGATACAGGGCAGAGCAAGACTCCGGATATTTGGGCTCACATAATGAGCTGGGCAAGTCATTTCATTTCCACAGTCTCAGTTTCTCTTCCAAAACATTGCATAATAACAGTATCAAACTCAGAATTGCTGTGAAAGCTTAATGAGTTAACGTGTATTAAATGTGTAAAACAGTAGCTGACTTTTAGTAAGAGCTATTATTTTACTATTAATAGTATTAAAGATAGAGATAGGGATTTTATAAGTACTTATTTCACTAGACTACATTAAAATGTATCTATAACTATTAAGAGCCTTAGAAGAGACAGAACAAAAAATGATGGGATCTCTGAAAGAAACTCATGAATCCTTAGGTGAGATTCCAACCTGTCTTCTCAGTTATCGATGGATAAAGCTAAAAATTCATAACAGAAGATTTGATCATGGTAATTCACACATGCTTGGTTTACAAGACATACATTGATTCCTATTATCAATTAAGTAAATTATATTTCTCTAAACTATATGTGGAACAAACAAAAACTATAAACTATATATAGGAGCAAAGAAAAGATATGAACAGACCCATAGGAGAAAAGAAAGACACGAGTATGAATAACTGTTCACATCGAACTTGGTCAGTAATGCACATTACTATACTGATGTGATACTATTTAAACTCACTAAATTGACAAATAATGAAGAATGCTTTCTGTTCCAAGTGTTAAGACATAAATCAATGTGAACCCTTATGTGCTAGGTTGGCCTTTTACTTGTGAATTTGCATTCCTGGTATGATTTGTATTTCCTTCCCATTCCGTTTATCTCTTGGAAAAAATGTATACTGTCACAGGATATGTGACTATGGATCAGTGGAAGTACAATCACAAGTGTGAGAAACCTCAGGAACAACCTCAGTGTCTACCAAGAAGAGAATGGATAAATGAAATGGATAAATACACACACACTCATACACACGCATGTGAACACACACTGGAATATTAATCAAAGAGCAGTAAAAATGAGTGAGTCATTTTTACCACCCAAGTGGCAAAAAAATGGATTTGTGTAAAAAAATTTACAGATTTCTCCCTAAAAACGAAAATATTTTTACATTGAAACATTATTTTTGTCACTCACAATTTGACAATGCTGTTTTTATTTTGAAAAAAAGAAAATAAAAGGCACAAAAGTTAAGAAGGTGGTTACCCCAGGGGTAACCGAATGAGCTGGGCTGGGGAATGTGCATGTGGTAAAGAGATCAAAGTATTGACCGTGAGTGACAGATTCAAGGTGGAGATCAAAGTATTGGCCGTGAGTGACAGATTCAAGGTGGCTGGGTTACCTGTGCTTTACAACTTACCCATGTTCTGTGTTTTCTTTTCATTTTTAAAAATAGAATTTATTTTTCAAGAAAAAGTTTTCATACTTTTAACTTGCTATTTATTCCACAACTGTCCCCTAACATCATTCCAGGGCCTGCTTCCAACCTCATGTCAGATTCCACCTCCCACTTCTAGCACCCCTTTCCTGATTATAAGCCTTATGCTCTGAGAAACTTCTTAAACGCAGTGTTTCCATGGGTTTTCTCCCCACCTGCGCCCCTCTGGTTCTCGCCTTTCCTCTCCACCTGTCAAACTGATTGTTCCTACAGTGCTCTGGAACACAGACACTGACACTCAAACTACTAATTTAGAGATTCCAGATTAGTTTGCATAATTTTATATCAAGTCCTTGCTAATTAATTTAACAAACTACATATTGGTATCAGGCTACACGATTCAGATCTGAAAGCCGAAAGCCATGGAGTTCTGAGACTTCAGAAGAACACAGTCAAGAAAACAGACCCTTACAGAAAACTACAATAAAAATTCTAATAAAATGGGAGCACCTAACAAGTAGATAAAGTCACAGAGATGAATAGCCTGCTATAAGTGGATATGAACCCCCTCCCAACACATACACACTGTACCTACTTTCAAATTCTAATGCATAACTACAGATTTTCACTTATTTATCAAACATAAGTAGAATTGTTTTCAAATGTAGGAATTATACCATTTATGAACTGCTTTGTACCCAACATCTGCAAGAGCACATGATCAGCAAGTATTTATTAGATGAATTAAAGAACCGGAAACACATGTGAAGATTTGGAAATGCTGGATGGCTTTTGAGTTCAAAGAACTCCCAGTAGTAAAGAACGGATGGCACACTGGAGTGGTGGTGAACGGTAAGTGTGGCACAGGTTAGGCAGCTTCCAGGGATAGTGTGGGTCTCACTCTGAGAGTGATGCATAACCACTAAGGGTTTTAAGCTGGTGGCAGGTGGGTTTATGATATAATTACATTTATACCTCAGAAAATAAACTGGAATGGATGTAAAATGGCCACGTAGGAACTTCTTGCAAGAATCTAGTTGGGAACCAACCAGGGTCTGAACTGTGGCTGTGCAGTGGAGTGTGAACAGTTTGAGAGACACTGGGACAAAAGTTGGGAAGACAGGCACGAGAAGCCAGAAAACCAAGGCTAATGTCTAAGACTTTGGCTTAGGTGACTGCGTTTCCTCTAAGGACCACTACCTTGGAGGTTACAAGAGAAGAAAGAAGTTTGAATAGGAAAGATTTAGATCCTCTGTTATTACAGACCTCCTAAGCTTAGACAGAGTTGCCTTCCTGGGGTTCAGAAAAAAATCTGACCTCAAAATATATTTTTATATCATTGCCATAATGATTGTAATCCAAGCCTTGGATGTAGAGGAGAGAATATTAAAATTGTAAAGGATCCAAACAACCTGGGAAGCTGTGGCATGAAGATCACAAGTTCAGGACCAGCCTGTGCAACTTAGCAAAACCCTGTATAAATAGAAATCACATGCAATCAAATGAAGGAAAGGCTGGTAGTATGGCTCAGTGGTAGAGGCCTTGGGTCAGTCCCTGGTGCTTCAGAAAGGGAAACAGGCAGGTAAAGGAAGGATGGCGAGAACTGTTACAGGAATCCTTAAGAACACACAAGTAAGGGTGGGAGAATTAGAACACACGCACAGAAGCTCAAGATAAGCAAAGAAGAGGAGTACAAAATCACAATGTGGAAACAGGGAGAACAATATGTGTTTTCCTTTCACGACAGCATGACCAAGATTTTAAAATATTACAGGAAAGCCAGGTATGGTGTGATCTTAAGAGTATCCGTTACAACAAAGGATTGTTAGTGGCCTTATCAAAATCTAGCTCACTGGTTTGAGAGGAGCAGAAGTCCAAGTGCAATGAACAGGTACAGGCAAATGAAAGGAGACCTTCATCAGCCTCCAGTTGAGACAAACAGGAAGATAACAGTGTGAGGGGCACTGCGCCTGAGGATGGTTTTCTCCACAGATTATAGTTACTTGGTCCTTGAAAACAGACTCTGTCAAACAGCCCTTGCTATCTTGCATTTTGCAGTCTACACAAGAGATTACTATAAAAATGTGCTGAAACTGAGTTTCGTGTGTCTGGATTCCAAGATAGGAAACAAAAACAGATCCCAAAGCTCCGGTGCCTTTGGCTTGGTACCACTGTTGCATCATCTACGGATTTATTCATTGTTTTCCTTTCAGAGCAGGGGGACTAGCACTTTTCACTCAGTCTCTCGGGATCTGGAGGGCTGGGTCCCTGACTATAGTTAACCAAGCACAGGCAGTGGCTCGCACTGGCAAGGAGCATCAGTGCAGTAAACTGACTTACTTTGGTTCTTTTTCACTCACGTCCACATCATCATAAATGATAACTTCCGGAGACCTAAGTCCTAGGGTGAAAGTAGGATCAAAATCACTGTTAGGTACGCATTATACAGCCCTGGCTTTCCAAATTATACATGGTGACCTAATTATCCGGGTGCCTCCTTAAGCCTGATTACATAGGCTGAAACAAAAAAAAAATCTCTTTGGGGAAGAAATTCAACTGATAGATTAAAAGGCAGCAAGATATCCTGGTATCAGACGTGCACATAGATTTGTATCAGTGTGATTTCATGCAGAGCTGATAAAAACATGAGTTTCTGGAAGTGTCATTTTAGACTATGTTCCCATTTTCTGTTACTGGAAAAAGATTTACACTGCTAGAATACTGAGAGGGCTTTTTCTTAATACTCAGTGGACAAGCCCAAATTTAGGGTGCTCATGTTTATTTTTCCCCATAAAATCTTTTCTTCATTCCAAACCATCAGTAACAGTTCTTTTGTAATAATTTGTGTTACATCAAATATGACTTAGTACATAATGACAATTGGACATTTTAAGCTTATGACAAGCACGTTCCTTGGCATGTAATATAGAATTCCATGATTTGCAGGTGATTCGCTATTTGAACAAGTTGGAGACCTTCTGGTAGATTCATGTTTATGTCAATTCATAATTCATGTTCAATTATTCATAATTTCTCACTACTTTAATAATTTTATTCGGCATCTTTAAATTGAGTGGAGCTATAGCTTTAATCTTCCTTATTTTAACTGCTTTGGAATAGAAAGTTTCAGTCTTTGAAGATTTTTGAGTTTGGAAATATTTGCATATACATAGTGAGATATGTTAGAGATGGGGTCTTAGAGATGGGATTCAAATCTAAACCTGAAATTTGTTTATGTTTCATATAGACTTGAAAGACATATTCTAAAAGCAATCTTGTGTGGTTTTCAGGGTGCCTGTGTTTTGACTACAACTTGTTAGGTGTGGAATTTTGTTTGTTTGTTTTGAGATAGGGTCTCCCTGTAGGCCCAGCTGGCCTGGAACTCACTATGTAGACCAGGCTGGCCTTGATCTCACAGAGATCTACCTGCCTCTGCCTTCTAAGTGCTGGGATCAAAGGCATGTGCTACCAATGTCTGGCCAGTATGGAATTTCTCACTTCTGTCAGCAATAAAAGTTTCAGATTTTGGATTATTTTGGTTTGTAGATTTTTGGATAAGGGCTATTTCTTTTGTAAAACACGTTCCTATTCCAAGTTGCCTTCCTTTTTTTATCTTTTTATGATGATAAGTTGGGAAAGCTGAAATTTTATCTGGTCTATATAACCTTTGTTATTTAGTTTGGCAAACGTTTGTGAGATGTATATGTTTGAATTGCTACTCAGAGTTGAATCAAAGTAACTAGACGACTAGAGCCCATAAGCAAAGCCTAGTGACCAACAAAATGCATGGCACTGTTTAACTGACAAATTCAGTATATTGAAGTGCATTCTGTGTGTCAGCCACTATGAGAAGCGGTGCACTGTTGCTTTAACAGCAAAGAAAACTATTCCAGTGGGCACTCTTGATTCATTTAGTGTTGGGGCTTCAATCCAGTCATACTTGGTTTATCATGTCTTAATCTGGCTATCAAGTCCATCAGAGGTATGTGGTAAATGCAGAATGCCCGAGTTCCATAGTCTTGGGTATAAATCTCGGACTACAAAGTATGGATATAGGTCCTCAAGCCTCCTACAAAGAGAGGGTAACATCTACTTATGGTAACACCAGAAAATGTTTCTCATCTCTCAGAAAGGAAGATGCACCATCGTGTGTGACATCTTTCATTCTGATGTGCCCATTTTTCATTGACTATGGGAAAGCAGGAAATATTAACCAGTGTTTTCCCCCTGTTTCTGAGTATACCAGTCTAGACTATATCAATACTTTTGGTAAGCAGCAAGTAAATGTCACTTACCTAAGTCAGGCAGTGAAATGGAAAATCTATTGCTAGTTAAGAAAGGACAAAAAAAAAAAGTCAAAGAGAAAAGTCACAGAATTATCAGCTACATCCCAAATAACATCTTGATAGGAAGTGTCCTAATCCAGATGGTATTTCTAGGCAAGGATCTGAAATGAGCATCTTGCAACTGTTCTGATCACCTTCAATCCATTCAAAATGAGTGTATTCAGCCCTGCTGACTGCCTGTAGCCCATTTTCTTACTAGACAGCTCGGGCTGCACCCCAGCCCTGACCTTCTTTCTGTATCCACAGACTTCTAATTCTATCTGCTAACCTTCTAAGAGGCAAATCCATTCAATGAGCATAAAGCTTGATGTGAAAGAACAATGCACAGATGAATTAACAGGGACCCTCTGCAGGCATTGTTGCCCTGTCTGCGGTTTTTAAGCCGAGGGAAGCCTTGCAGGGAGAAATCCAAGCCAGGTGGGAATGTAAGATGGTAAATTGCTAGGCGGGAGAGGACGTATAGTCCAGCTAGGTTTGGTGATCTTCATCTATCACTGCTAAGATCACATGGAATGAAGTATGGGGTGAGAAGATAAAGAAGAGACCCAATGCATTTGAAGCCCTTAACTTAAACCCAGTCTTTTGGTATTTTTGGAGCTGCCACTGTGTGCCCAAGATGACTGTTTACAGTTTCCCTAAAGGGAGACCAAAACTAAAGTACTAGAGGACATCGCTTCTGCTATGGTCAGGGCAACAGAACGTATACCCATTTCTATTAGATCTCTTGGGAGATCGAGCTCTAGCAGACAATTGGACTTAAAAATCACAAAACCTTGGAGCTTTATAATTGAGGAAAATTTCAAGGGAGAATAGCATGGTTCTATTTCAATGCAGGCAATGATCTTGGCAAATTATTTTCCAGTGCCCTCACAAAATACAGATCTATATCTTGGAGAAAGAACTGTCTCCAGAGACTGCACAGTCTCTCTTCCATTGAATCCAGGAGGAAACCTCATGAATACAAACGTTTGCCAGTGGGGGAACTGAAAATCAAGAACTGGCCTCTTTGCCAGTAAATTGGGGACCTCGGCAAAGACTGGCACTTAGTTAATGTTATCTTAGGAAGTCCTTTCCAGGTCTAAGACTTTGAGATACACAGACCATTAAGCATAGAAGACCACCTGCAAGTCCACCAACTCCCCATCGCACACAGTGCTTCTCTCAAGGGAGACAAAATGATCACAAGGAAGACCACTGGAACTTGCAGGGCCAAGTCAGCATGAAACGGTATAGTTAATAACAAAGTGCTTCATGATAACGACATGACTAGAGGCCAAGGATGACTGCAAAGGCTTGCATTTGGGACCTTGCTAACCTGTTCTCTTCGGTAGTATGCTCTTGGGGTGGCATGTACTCTACAGGTGGCATGCACTTGGGGCCTTTTGCTTTAGGTTCTGATACCCTCTTGGCTGTTGCCAAGAACTGGACAGAGAACATCAGCCTGAATGTCTCCACAGCAAGGGTTGCTAATCCCCTCCAGGAAAGAAGGGCTAAAAGGGATGTTTTACCTTTTATTTCCTTTTGAATTGGTTTTCTTCATGTTGAATACACCCTTTTCTCTCCTGAAGAATTTCTGTAGTCTTTTAAGTGCTGCTTTTCCATCTAAACTAAGAGAAATGAGAAGACAGCATGGCATTTGAGAAGTACTAGAATTGGAATGGAAAGCTGTTGGATTGTGAAGACTAGAGACCCCGTCTCATTTCCCAAACAGACCCCCTCACCGAGGCACAAGGCAACGCCTCAGCAACTTGCAGGCAAGCTCTGTTTAGAATCTGTATGAAGTAGCATGGATCAGGCAGCCATGAAAAGAGTAATTACAGTGTGGCACAAACGCTCATCCACTACAAACAGTGTACATTTTTGTAGAGTTTATGGAGCTAAATCTTCCTTTCAGAGGAGAAAATAACTTGGGGAAACAAGCATTCCAATCTATGCTGGAAATACATTAGAGGAATTACTGGTCCCTGAAATTCCTTTCGCTGGTTTTTAACTTACTGAATATTACAGCAGACATGATATATTGACTGCCTAGGTGATGATAAAATTATTCTCTATATCATTTTGTGCTCTGGAAGGGAGGGGTCGACAGAAAAGGGGATGCACCCGTATGCCTAGCCTGGGATTCCTTCAGCCCCCAAACTTATCACTTTTGACTATTGCTGTTTTTTTCCATGATGTGCCCTTTATAACCAACTTGACCAATAACAATAATTTGAACAAATCTTGTTCATAACACCAGTGAATTATTAGATACTAAGTAAAGCCCAAATTCTAGTGTCTGTCTTATTAACTTAAAAGGCAAAGGTAAGTTATAACCATTGCTTTGTTCCTGGAAAAGTAACTACAGAAGCAAAGCAAATTCTACTGATATTCACTTCTCCTTTCTCAGTTATTTCTTAATATCAATATGAAAATTCTCTACTCTGGGAAATGGACATTTTTCTCAAAAGAGAAAGCAATGTAACCTAAATCTTATGACATGTGACTGTACACAATTAATGACCATCCTACTGATGACAATGTAGTATTAAAACAGCATATCACTACTTGGTGTGAATGATGGTTGCAGGGTATGGGCTCTGGTTTGCTAAATAAATAGGAAATACTATCAGCCTACAAAGCCAAGAAAGAAACTCACTCTACTTTTTGGTCATTGTTCTTTGCTTTGTAGATATCTTCATACATTTCTTCACTGTTTTCTTCTGAAATTAAGAAAAACAAGCATTTTATTCATCATGGATACCAAGAGTTCAGATTAAATTTTTTTAATCAAGATATGGAGCCTGAGCTGTGTTTGAATTCATTATGTGGCCCAAAGTGGCTTGGGAACAGAAACATCTTGCTTCATTCTCCCAAGTACAGGGATTATAGGTATGTGCCACCATGCCCTGGTTAATATTTAATAACCAAAAAATGACTGCATACTTAGTAGGTGCCAAGTTTTTTGTTTTTGTTTTTGTTTTGAGATAGGGTATCACTATGTAGTTCTGGCCAGTTGGGCTGGACTGGAAATCACTACGGAAAACAGGCTGACCTTGAGCTCACAGAAATCGCCCTCCTTCTACTCCAGAGTGCTGGGATTAAAGGCATACACCACGACAACAGGTTGATATAAGTATTTTTATTGTCCTTGGGTTGGTGTCTTCTGTTTAAATATATGCATCTTTTTATAAACATTTTGTAAAAGTACTTATGCCTCCATAAAGGTATGTACAAATGAAAATCGAGAGGGACTTCCTCCACCTCTGATTCTGTCTTATCTGATTTAGCCAAAGAAAGCTGGTTTCTTAACAGATTCGTTCCTTTCACCCTGCCTCCTTCCCATCATTACTACAGAACAATTGTGGTCTTCTATGCATGAGATACTGTGTTGAATGCTGGAGAAACAAAGGAAAACCAGGTGCATTCTGAATAATGTTTCCCTTTGCAGTAGGGCTTGGTTCAGCCTAACACATAAGCTTAATATACACAGACATGTGTTGGCTCCAGCCTGGCAACAGGATCTAACAGAAGCAATGCTGGAATCGAGGTGAAAATTTCAAGGTTTGAAATTTGACTCTGGTACATCGAGCATGGAGAGTTATTTAACATTTTGGTGCTTCTTCCCTGTTTAAAAGGTGAATATTGAATTTAATGTTCTTTAAGGCTCTATCTACATTCAGAATTTTTGGATTCTATGAAGTCAACCCAGAATAACATTTGATTATTCCTCAAGTACTTCATTTTTTACTAGTTTTTCTTTTAGACAAAGTCTTACTCTTAGCCTGAAACTCACTGTGTAGATGGGTTAGCCTCTAATTTTGGACAATTCTTCTGCCTCAACTTCCCAAGTGCTGCTCTTACAGGTGTGAGTCATTAAACTTAGCTACTTTTTCCTTTTAAAAATATTTATTTACTCATTTGTATATTTTGAGGCACAAAGGATTGAACCGCAAACCTTAGGCATACTAGGCAAGTGGTCTACCACTGAACTATATTTCCAGCCCAATTTTACAACTTTCATTGATAAAATATTATATAATTATGGTATACAACATGATGCTTTGATAATTGTATACATTATAGAATGATTAATGATAATTAACATATCTATTACTTAATTTTTGTGATGAGAACCTTTAAACTCCACACTATTAGCAAATTGCAACATAAAGTATCTTGTTCTTAAGTATAAC